CAACTCCTGCACAGTAAGTTAGACCTCAGGTAAGTTGAAGTAGACGACCTCCTAACCAACATTTCTGTTTCTTAGAAATTTCAAGAAACCTGCATTTTGATAATCGGGTTTTCCGCAAAATGTTTAACGATAATACAGATTAGATATAAATCAAAAACATTTCTAGATACAATAAACAATGCATAAAGCGGTTATTAAAGTATACTCTACTGCCCATCCTAATTCCTCACCCCAAAACCCCTACAACCACCATTTCCATAGGAGAAAATGCTGGGACTAGGGGGTATATAAGGTGCATTACTTAAACTACTGTAGCCACCACTTCGAGGGCAGTTAACGCGGCCCGCGTACAGCGTTGTCCTTTTATTCAGTAATATGCACTCCCAGACAGAGTCCAGCGAATCCTGCAGTATCTGCGAGGCAGGACTTAACGGGCTCGGAAAATAAAGTTTACCTGCCGTGGCAATACAACCCTTACCTCATTTTGCCAAGGGATAGAGACGGCACCGGAGCAGAATTTGCGGTAGAAGGCGTAGTCCTCTGCCTCGATCTTGACGCCTCTCACTGTGGAGAACTGTTCAATATCGAGGACGTCTTTGGCGTACACTGCGTGGGGCTGTAGGCAGGGACGGGGGAGGGAGGTTAAAATAGTCACGAGAAGGCTGTCAAGTAGAAAGACAATTGTAGCAACATCATGGATGACGTCGGAGAAATGCAAAAAAAAAATCTTAAGGAAAGGCAAGCACACAAAAAAGCATTCAGGCTTTCAGCTAAAAAGGGCACTCAAAATGCCCTGCCGCCCGTACCGCCATTTGAGAGGAGTGGGGACAGGGAGACTTTGATTGTAGTCACTGAGGCAAAATGACGGACTGATACTTTTTTTTTAAAAAATGGCTCGTAAAATCGCAAAAGTCTGATGTACGACGCTCGCGGGCATTTGACCGGAGCTCTACAAATAGAAAGTCTACTCAGTCAGTGTTAAATGAGTACGTGATATTAATGTCTCATGCGGTAAGCGAACCGTGCGTAGACAAGCACTGTCTGAACTGATTGCAGCACGGAATGCTTCGTAGGATTTGAGTGAACCAATTCCACTGCACACTTCCTCTCGAGGAACAGCAAATAGACCAGCCGCCGGTGCAGGTGCAGCGCTTTACTTTCTATAAATACTGCTCCGCTGAATGTGTAATGGGAGACCGCGTAAACGAATCAGACAGAATGATTTATCAATTATTCGCTATGAGAAGTCTGTATGTGGCTACCGGGTGCATCTGCAGGCAGTGGATAATGGAACAAGTATCAGTCAAGCCCTGTTATGAAGTAACGTCACCGGACTTGATAAACAAGCTTTCGCAGACCAGCAGAGACAGGACGCGTACGAATGAAGACTAGCCCGCCGATCCTGATGCCGGTAGTGTGATAAGACGATCGTGAAGCACAAGGAATTAACTTATTTTGCCATTCTTGTCTTGTGGTCAGGGTTCAACGGATCAAGATATTAAACGGCGTAACCTCAAATTGGGGCGGATGATAGGGCTTCGCCTGCACCTAAGATAGCTGATGAAAATAATGACAGGAATGATCGAACTCGTATCACTTCACCAACGCAAGTAAGCTTCCTCAGCTGCGAACGAAACAAAATCCCTGAAGCACAAGGTAGATCCGTCATTTCAATCAATTCTACGTCTGTAGGCCGTTAATTAAGACGCTGTTGATGTCCGAGAATGTTGCTAAGGTAAGAAGAAGTTAACACGCTTCGTGTCTACTTGAGCGAGTCCTTGAGGCTCAAACAGGCGAATAAACTGTCCCCTCGCATTTGGACAGCTCACCACCAGCGTCAGTGCAGTAACATCCATCTGACTTGAACGGTAACGGTTAAGTTGGTCGCCCACTTTAGTCTGCAGTCCTGTGAATTCTCTTCGTTTTTATAGCTTAATTCTGGGTTAGTTTTGAGTTTACGTTTAAGTTTAGTTAGATATCTTCAACTTTAGATAAATATACTTAAATAGCTACTGTATACTAAATTAAACTGAGCTAAACTTAACAAAAATAAAAAACTAAACTAAAATAGACATAATTTTGGAGCTGGGGGTATATAAAGTTGGCGACCAACTTAACTGTTGTTATTCGAACCAACTGGATTTATGGCAGACCGGACTAGGGCATCAAATTGCGTGCACTACCAGCCCGATAGAGTGCCCAAAATATTTAGAAAGAGACAAATTAATGGGAAAAAGATGGGGATTAAAACCCATGCCGGCCGCTACGTTCGTGTAGTAGTGGCGAATTTTGAACGGATTAAATAGCACCCTCTGTCCAAACGTCCATCAAGTGCCAACTAGGCCACTACGGTTAAACATGGAGGCGAGCGCAGTAGCTGACCCCATTTATACAAATTTGGCTGAAATGACTTAGATATTACATGGATGAGAATTGCTGAGTGCATGTTAGATGAAAACGACCGCGTCCTCTCGCTAACTCGAGCTATTTCATATATATTGATAAGAGGTGACACAGGATCGGCCTCCGTGACTATTACTTTTCATCGTGCATCCGTGAAAATAGGTTGTTGTCGTGGACAGCCAAAACTAGCCATACTCCCTGCAGACACCTGTTCTACAGCAGAATGTTTGATTATCTCTTAAATTTCACAAATAAGCATGGGAAAGGGGAAGCGAAATGCACATACATCGGGCGTGAAGGGCGGCTCCATGAGGCCAGCCTCAAGGCGCTTCCAATTCATCACTTCGAACCAGCTGTGAGCCTTCACCGCGGCCGCTCCACTCGCATCGCAGCCAAGTCGTTCGGTTTTACTCTTTCGAAGGAGCTGTAAAGAGGAAGAGGTGGGGATGAGGAGGAAGGCGGAACTTAAAGCAAGTATTATTGGCACGCAAAAATGTAGGCAAGCATACGTATTGGGGGTTATGCCAACTTTTACAGGCATTTTGCAGAAGTTTCGGACTAGGAAGGGCAAACAGTAAGAATGACATGTATGGTGGTCTAAACAGGACACTCGAATAGGAATACCCCGCCCACTTAAAGGTGGTCTTGCAATAGAATTCAGGAAGAGTACATATGCCCGTACCGCAACCCTAAAATAAAACTACACTGTAATCGTAATGTTGACCATAGCCCAACCATAAGCCTCAGACCTACAGTTAACATGACCTCAAATCAGATCAGTGCAAAGCGTCAGCATTGTACATATTGATATCCTGGGTGAACATAGGTTGAAGTGACAGGTCTGTACATCGGGTGCCTGATTCAAGTTTGTCTGAAAACGACGGAATACTGTTCAAGCACCTGCCCCAATGTACGTAACCAACTACCGGTCCTTAAGCAACTTGAAGCATTGTAGTAAATGCCAACGAGTACCGCCGACACGAAGCAATACGTGCGAAACTGCCAGCCGCCTTTGTTTTTCTA